TTTCGGGAAATGTTTCTGCTGTTCTCTGGAAGCGACGCCCCCCCCTCCGCGCGCATCCGCACAAAATCGCGCCCACTGCACTTTGCTCCACGGCTCCAGGGCGCCCTGAGCCAGAGACCGCCTCAAAACGGCTGCAAGACGCCCTAAGCCCGTCCAAAGACGGCCCAGCGGACTCTCTTGGCCCTCTCCTGAAATCCCGTTGGGATTTCTTGGGGCCCGCTTGGGCGGACTCCGGAGATCGAGGTGAACAAGAGACCCCCCGCCAAGAAATCGTTTTCGGTTTCGTGCTCGGGTCGTGCGTGTGGGCGAGGCGAAGCTGAGTCGGCGGGGGAAAGGAATGAACCCGCCGTGATTGAGGAAAAACCGGGCCAAATTTTGCTGCGCCCCCCGGTTGGCCAGCGGTGGCCCGGGGGTGTCCCGCGGTGTCCCGTGGTGTGATGGAATCCGAGGTTGGGAAAGAGATCGAAGTGAACAGAAGACCACCCGCCAGGAAATCGTGTTCGGTTTCGTGTTCGTGTCACGCGTGTGGGCGAGGCGAAGCTGCGCTGGCGGGCGAAAGGAATGAACCAGCTGTGCTTACGGAAAACGAGGCCAAATGTTGCTGTGCCCACCGGTGGACCAACGGTGGACCGGGTGTATCCCGCGGTGTCCCGCGGTGTTCCACCCCAGTTGGCCGGCGGTGGCCTGGGGGTGTCCCGCGGTGTCCCGCGGTGTCCCGTCGTGTCTGGTGCTATGCGATGACGTGCTATGCTATGCTGTGCCATGCTGTGCAAGGCTACGCTATGTTATCAGTGCAATGTTAAGCTATGTGGTGTGATGCGATACGATATCATGCTGCGCGATGCGATGTTATGCTATGCTATGTTGTGCCATGCGATGATATGTTCTTATGTGTGACGCGATGCGATGCGATTTGATGATACGCGATACTATAATATGCTATGCTTCGCTATGCTATTCAATGCTGTGCTGTGCGAAAGTATGTGATGCTATGCTATGTTCTGCTATGCGATGCAATGCTCTATGTTGTAGCTCCAGTTGGTCCCCCTCCCCCCCCACCACCACCACCACACACACAACCTCCTTATCACCCGAAGGGTGGTCGTACATGAAGGTACGCACTGGCAAGATCTCGCGGCCAGAGATGCAACCGCCTCGCGCACACTTGCCTGGAGCGGGGAGGGCCGGAGAGGAATGGGAACGACCTGGGGGGAGCGGGGGGAGGTGCGGAGTGGGGTGTCTTGTGGGCCTCTTGGACTGTCTCAGAGCGCTCTGGGATCCAAAGGCGCCTACGGAGGGCTCTGTGGGACGTCTTGGGGCGAACCTGGGGGCTTTGTGTGCCGTCGTGGAGGCCTTGTTGGGATGTCTTGCGGCGACCTTGGGGTTCTCTGAGGCCGTCGTGGACGCTATTAATTCGCCGGCCCAACGGGCCAGAGGCGTGCTAAGATCTCCGGTAACTTGTTAACAGTATTTCTAGTTCGCGCGCGCGGAGCGGCCCCTGGGGGCCCCCGGACGAAAAGTACCCCGGCAAGGTCCCGAGAGAAGCCCGGGAGAAGCCACCAGACCACTCCAGGGGAGGGTATTTTTCGACACCCCTCACGAGGATCGTGGCCTCCGAGGGGGGAGCCGCAATCGACTACCCCCAAGAGCCCCCCAAGAGGCCCTGGGGGCCTCCAAAACGCCGCCAAGGAGCCCCAAGAGACTCCCAAGAGGTCCCCAAGAGGCCCCCAAGAGGCCCTAAAGAGGGCTCCAGGGCCGGCGGCATGAGCGAAGCGATTAAATAAACGGTTATGGGAAAGAAAAACAAAAACAAAAAAAACGCTTCCCCGACGAATTAGGGCGATGTGTGTTTCTTGCGGCCCTCATAAGTGTCCTCTTGGAGCCCTCTTGAGGGGCTTGCGGGGCCTCTCGGGCCGTCTTGAAGCCATCTTGGGTGTCTTGGTGCACTCTTGGACCGTCTCGGACAGGAGATCTCCCGTCGGCGCAGTGGAACCCGATGTAGCCGCCGACGGTGGACTCGACAAACGTCCAGACAATGAGCATCACCATGTTGCTCATCCAGCCGTTCGCGGCCACGCCGTCTGAGGCACAGACCTCCGCGTCGTAGTAGTAGTAGTAGTAGTAGTAGTAGTAGTAGTAGTAGTAGTAGTAGTAGTAGTAGTAGTAGTAGTAGTAGTAGTAGTAGTAGTAGTAGTAGTAGTAGTAGTGGTAGTAATATTAGTAGTAGAGTAGTAGTAGTATAGTAGTAGTAGTAGTAGTATAGTAGTAGTAGTAGTAGTAGTAGTAGTAGTAGTAGTAGTAGTAGTAGTAGTAGTAGTAGTAGTAGTAGTAGTAGTAGTAGTAGTAGTAGTAGTAGTAGTAGTAGTAGTAGTAGTAGTAGTAGTAGTAGTAGTAGTAGTAGTAGTAGTAGTAGTCGTAGTAGTCGTAGTCTTAGTCTTAGTCGTAGTAGTAGTAGTAGTAGTAGTAGTAGTAGTAGTAGTAGTAGTAGTAGTAGTAGTAGTAGTAGTAGTAGTAGTAGTAGTACGTCTTGGGCTCGGCGGGCAGCTCCTCGCAGCCCTGCAGGGGGGCCGCCACCGCCATGACCAGGGCCATGACTGCCGAGCGACCAGTTCTGGGCGAGCTCGCTGCGCACCGAGTGCGCTGTACTCGGGCCACCGCCCCCACGTCGAAGCCGACCCCCTCCGACTGCCCTTCGCTCTCCCCGACCTGGCCCATGTTCGCGTAGATGCCGCTGAGCGCCCTGAGCTTGATGAACATGCCGCGCCCGAGGAGATTCGTGCCCAGGTCAGCCTCGTTGTCGCTTGCGCCGACGGCCCCGAGGTCCATTGGGCCCATCAGCTCGCGCTTGATCGCCTGCTGGGGCCAGAGCGCGCGCGCATCCAGGCCCCTGACCTCGCCAACTCCTTCGCGTCTGGCAACCCCTCGAGCCGCCGACGAGTAGGCGAGCAGAGTAGAAGCCACCGCGAAGCCCATGAACTCCAGCGGCGACTTGAAGTATAGGGTGTCCTCGGCGACCGCCGTCGCCGCGCAGTACTCAGCAACGCCCGAGCTGGCAGCAACAAGCGCCCGGCGCCTGCTGAACGAGTGCATCGGGCCCCCGTCGATCTCGATCCCCCCACTCGACTCCGATCTCCGTGCGCGCAGGTCGCCTGCCCAGTCACTGTCGCCATGCCTCGCCAGCTCCACGTTCGCGCCCTCCGTCGGCTTGGGCGCCCAGTTCACCCCGGGCCCTGGCGCCGAGAAGGTACCTGACCAGCCTCCTGAGAGCGGTGAAAGCACCGACGGTCGGGGCTGACAGCATCCTGCCGAGAAGGCTGACCTCGCACTGGCAGTCCGCGCTGTCCTGGGCGCAGCGCAGCATCGGCCCCGCGCATGGGCGGTAGACGCTTGCCTGCTCTAGAGATAGGGCAGGGGTGGCCCCCATGGGCGCCCTGTGCGCCAGCACCCCCGGCGCGGGGGCTGCGTTCGAGCTGCCGAGGCCCAGGGTGTCCACCGCGTAGTCCAGGTGCTTCGGGCTCGCCTGGAGCTCGGCCCCGTGCTCGAACCTCGCCCCCTGCCGCTTCAAATGCTCGCGGGGTGCCAACCTCGTGAATCTCGCCACCGCCGAAGGTCGCACGCTGCTTGAGCTCGTCGCGAAACCCCATCCAGCGCGCCCCTGGGACCAGTCATGCGGAGGTCATCCACACGCACCCCCACCGCCACCTCGCCCTCAGGGTTGTAGAAGGACTGCGGGACTACGTCGCACCTCGACATGTACAACTCGTCCGCGAGGATGCCCGCCATGTGCTCCACCCAGCCTGGCGCAGCAGTGCGCCTCCCAGGCAGCTGCTTCTTCGACTTCCCGTAGATGTTCGCCCCCTTGCCCTCCGCCTTCAGCATGTCCAGATACTCCTGCTGGGGGCCCACCACCACGTCGTCGCAATTGGGCGCCTGGTAGAAGGCGCCCGTCGCGTCCAGCGCCATCACCTCGAAGCCGCGCTCAGGCGCCACGAAGTCGACGAGGCCGCCGGAGATCGGCACCGACACTGGCGTCAAAAGGTCGTCGCGCCACTCCTGCCAGCGGAACTCGCGGCAGACGAACCGCACCTTCCGCTGCCACTCCTGAGCAGCTGGCTTCCACCGCCACAGATTCTCCCAGCGCGCGGCGACGTGCTTCATCCCGTTCGCCTCCGACTTGGGGATGTCCTCCCCGGCTCCGTGGTCCAGATGGCTCTGCAGGAGCTCCAGCGTGAGCTTCTTGTCCAGCTCGCCCTGCATATCCACGTCGAACACGCCCTCGGTCGAGTCGTCGACCTCGTCCGAGACCTCCTCCCAGAACACTTCGGCGGAGTCGCCCGCGTCGCCGACGTCGAGCGCGCGGACTGCTGCAACACGGGCACGCTTGCCCTGTGAGTCCCCAACCGCCAGCGAGACCTCCCGTCTCGCCACCTGCGAGGGCGCCCCAATCGCCGCGTCGCCTTGCGCTGGTGGCGCAGGTGGGGCGGGCAATGCCTACTGCGGCGCCTGCTGCGGCGCCTGGGGCTGCGCGGGCGCCGCTCCGCCCTCTGGGGGTACCTGCGGCACCGGCCGCTGCCGCTGGGCCTCCGCCTCGGGGACCTCCTCCGCCACCCGCCGCGGCGCCCGTCGGCGCCTCGACCTCTCGGGGGCCGCCCTTGCCGCCCAGGGTAGCTCCGTCACCGACAGCGGGAGCTCCTCGTCAGCCCGTTCGTTCCCAGGGAGCCGTCGCGCCGTCCGCGCACGGTCAATCCCCCGAGGCGCCATCAGCAGGTGCTCCTGAGACTCGTCCGACCTGCCGACCCAGATCCCGCGGCCCCGCTGCGTCTCTCCAGAATTCAAGCGTCGCCCACCAGTGAGCCCGCGATGCGCTGGCCGCGCTATCCGATGCAGCACCGCCTCGCCAAAGTTTCAGACGTCTCCCGCACGGGGTGACCCCGCGGCGATCTCGCGAAGGGTCTCTCCTCCAGCTCGCCGCGAATACCTCTCATGGAGCCACGCAGCGCATCGCGTCGTCCAGGCCCAGAACGGCTTCGCTGCGGTCACTTTGATGCCGCATCGCTTCTCGAGGTCCAGCCTGAGAACCCGCGTCTGGCCCTCAACGATCTTCACCGCTGCCTCCGCTTGGTTCAACTGGCTGCTGTGCTTCGGGGTCAGCTCTGGCGCGACCTTGCCTGCGAACTGGCTGACACGCCCGCCGACGGTGGCCTTAGACGCAGGCTCGGCGTCTGCCCCGACGCTGCACGCGCCGCCCTCGAGCCGCTGCGCGAAGGATTTCGCGCCCGCCACCGCGCATGGGGGGGGCTGTATTCGAAGGGAGGGGCATGGGGTGGCCTTCACCACTCCAATGTCCGAGCTGAACGCCACGGGCATCGTCGCATACGCGTCCTCAACCTGCGCAAGGTCGCCGCCCTCGCCCGTCGTCTTTCAGAAGGCAACGTCGCAGCAGATGAGCGGCGCTTTCTGCTCCGCACCCTCGAGCCTGACCGACGCACTCCTCACGTCAGGGAGCGGCTGGTAGGTGAGTGAGGCGATGTTGCCGCTCCTCCTCCGCGCTCGCGGTCTTCGCCATGGGGAGCTGCTTCGCCTCGACTGGGTCGTGCTGAATACCCATATGCTCCTTGACTGCCTCCTCGCGCGCCCTCTCTGCCTCTGCGCGTCGATGCGCCGCCTCTGCCGCTATGAGCCGTTTCCGCAGCCCCTGCTCGGTGCCATAGATAGGCATGAACAGCCCCCTCAGCCTTGTCCCGAGCGCGCCGACCGAGCTGTCCGCATGGAGAACTGGCGCCGTCGCTGGCTGCTCAGCCGCACCTCGGCAGCGACCCACCTCAACGGGCCCCGCGGACACGATCGGAAGCCCGAGGCTGTTCCGCTCAAGCTCCAACTGCAGGCTGCGATGGCCCTTCGCCATGTACAGCCCGTCCTCCAGGCTGAGGTTGAACCTGGGGCCCTGCCTGAGCAACTTGCCCACGCTCAGCAGGTCGTCATTCACGTCGGCGACGAGGAAGTCCGCCGTCGCCCTGATGCCCCCCTGCATCCTCATCTCGACTCCTCGTAGGCCTGCCGTGGGCAGCGGCCTCCGCTGGACATCAATGAACCGCGGCGCTTCGACTGAACTGGCGATTGGGCAGCCGGTGCAAACTTATGCCTGCACAGGTGGTCGCCGCTGCCGCCGTCGATCAGGATGGAACCGCCGGCCTTCGCCGCCTGCCCGTCTGAGGCCGCCGAAACTGTGAACGCCAGGCCGTCAGGCTCGCCGCCGTGGATGCCCAACGCTGCACACGCCGCGCCTGGGGGCTGACTCCCTGGCGCAGCTGCCTCGCCCTGGACCGCCCGCGTGCCCCCTTCCGCCCTGGGACTTCTTCGCGTCGTCGGCCTTCGTCTTCCTGCAGCCCTGGCCCCCGTGACCCCACTCGCCGCAGTAACCGCACTCGGCGCCGAAATGATTCGAATGCTGGCGCGAGGGCATCCCATGTCCAGCTTTAACACCGTCTCGATCAGTGCCTTTCGTCCTGGAGTCCTTCCCCTTCGGTGTCTTTCCAGCCTTGCCACCAGACTTGTCCGTCTTGCCCGTCTTGCCAGCCTCGCCGCCAACCTTGCCCATCTGAGGGCCAGCTCGCACTGCATCAACCTGCATCAGCACATCTCCTTCAACGTCTGGGACGAGCGCGAATGTGCGTCCTTCATCATAGTAACCTCGGATGTGGCCCCGAGCTGCCGCGAACGCGTGATTGACCTCCTCTGGGGTCTGCCTCAACAACTATCGACACGGGTCAGGCGCATGCTCCAGTAGCACGCTCACTCAGACATTGTCTGAGACGGCCTCGCTACTGGTCCACGTACTCCGCCACGATGTCCTCCCAGGCAGTGAGCGACTGGAAAAAAGTGGATCCCTGACTCCCTGTCCGTTTGCCCATTTGTCCTGTGGGTTCAGGATGAACCGTAGCATCGCCATCCATATGTTGCCTGACCTCTTCTCGTATTCTATATTGAGCTGCAGGCAAGCCTCGAGAGCATTCTTGCGTGCGAGCTTCACCACTCCCATGGCCTTGCCACCACACCACGTGATCAGTAGGTCCCAGAGCCGTGCACTGATCGCCTTCGCGCGGTCACTGAGCGCGTCGTTCTGGAATGGGTCTCGGCTCTGCGTTGCCTCCGTCATCAGATCCTCGAAGCGCAGCAACGTCGTGTAGGCCTCGGAGCGGAGACTCCAGTCTCCCCATCTCTCGTCTGCGCCGTCGAACCGCGGAAGCCGCATGTCCGTCCGCACGTCGACCACGTCGATGTCTGCCACCGCTGCCCCCGCTGCCAGCGCGGAAGAGGCGCGCAAGCTTGGCGGTCGAGCTCAGCTCTCGTGGGCGGGGAACCGATCTCCGCTACCATGTTGCGATATCGGCTGGTACATGTTTATCATCATGTTGGGCCAAAAAGATCGAGTTACACTGCTCATCATCAGCCGTGCCAAGCTGCCTCCTGCATGAGGGGGGCCTCCGACCCCAGCAAAAACAATCTACAACAGTTGCCCAGCTTGGGCCTGTCCTGCGGCTCTCTTGGGCCGCCTGAGGCTCCTCCTGGGTAACTTTCGGGTTCCCTGGGGTTCTTCGGCGGTCTTGGGTCGGTCTTGGGGGCGTCGTCGGCCGTCTTGGAGCGTCGGAAGGTCGAAAATGTGAGAAACCGAAAGGGAGCGAAAAACATTGGAACAAAAACGAATGGAAACCAAGGATGTGGGCCTCTTCGGGCTCTCTTGGGACGCCTCTCGGAGTTCTCTTGGGCCCTTTTGGAGGGTTCTTGGGCTGTGTATTGGTCGTGTTGAGCCCATCTGGGGCAACGTTGGGGCCATCAGGGTCGTCTTGGAGCGCCTTGGGGTTTCCCGCTCCCGCTGTGGGGCCCAGCTTGGGCATATCCTGGGGCGCTCTTGGACCGCCAGAGGTTCCTCCCGGTCAATGTTCGGGTTCCCTGGAGCCGTCTTGGGGCTCTGTTGGGGGCTCTTCGGCGGTCTTGGAACGGTCTTGGGGGCGTCGTCGGCCGTCGTGGAGCGTTGGAAGGTCGAAAACGCGAGACACCGAAAAACATAGAAACAACAAGTGAAAAATCAAGGAGTTGGGCCTCTGAGGGCTCTCGCGGAACGCTTCTCGGAGGTCTCTTGAGGACTCTTGGAGGCGCCTCCTGGGCTGTGCACTTGCGGTCTGGAGCCCATCTGGGGCCACGTTGGGGCTAGACTGGCTGTCTTGGAGGGGCTGGTCGAAATCCCCCGGGAGCTTCTTGGAGCGTCTTGGAGCTCTCTGGGGCAGTCTGGGGGCTCCACGGCCCCTCCGGGGTGCTCTGGGAGCGGTCTCGGAGGCCCCAGTCCCCCCATATGCGCTCCAGGTCCCAGCCCCGGGCGCCCGGGCCTCTTGCGCGGGTATGTATGTATGTGTGTATGTATATATATATATATATATATATATATATATATAGATATATACATATATATAGATAGAGAGAGATTTTATATATAAGATTATATGTTATATGTATATATATATATATAAATATATATATATATATATATATATGTACACACATATACTCCTAGGAACTATTTTTCTAGGGCCGGGGACCCCGGAAAAAAGCGCCCCCCCCCACACCTAACGAATGTCGGACTCCCTGGGCTGCTTGAAGCCCCCCCCGTGCTGCTCGGACGCCCTTGCAAAGGGTTCCTTCGGCCTTCCGGCCTTCTCGGAAGGTCCAAAGAGGCCTCCAATATTGCCCAAGACAGCTCGTCGACAGTTCCAAAGCACACCAAAACCTTCAGCATGACTTTCAAACGCCCCAAGAGGCCTCCAAGAGGCTTCCCAAGAGGGCCAG